GGGCTGTCATGCTCCTTCTTGGGACCCTAAGGGGGGGGGGGGGGGGGGGGGGGGGTGGGGTTGTAACTTGGTCAGTTAATGTGCACAAAAGCACTGTGATATATTTGTTGGCACCTGACCTTGAACTTGAGGACTTTCAAAGAGTCACACACTGCAGTACCAGCTGAACACAGCTGCATAAGGCTCAGGGCATCGTGGTTATCAGGACCAGTCCCACCCTGTACTGATTTCTGCAGACTGTATTACAGGCTAAGGAGCCATGCAGGAGGAGAAGTGGGAGGCTGTAATATCCACTGTTTATATCTGAGGGATTCTTCCATTGCCTGTGAACCCCAGGGGCCTACGCTACTGCAGAGAAGAGCAGTCAGAAAATACAGGTGGCCTTTCACATATTCTAGGATCTTCCAAAGACCCTGCAGCCACTCTTCAAGAGGAATGCTTTTAACAGAAATGCTCCGTGGTTTTAAAGTTTGTAAGACTGTATCCTGAATTCCACTGCATCTGGCCATTACCCTTGCAGGCTTTGTGCTGGTCTCCCACATCTGGGTCTAGGACAAATCAAGAAAGACTGTATTAAACAGTTATTTAAACAAGTTACTTTAACCTCTAAGCCTCAGTTGTCTCTAGAAGATGTGGATAACGGTGTCCTCTTGCAGTGGCTGGTAGCGATGGGACAGTCTGGGCAGTGCCAGTCACTGAAGAAGACACGGTTTTCCCCACTTTTAAAAAGATTCGTTTTTATTTGATGTGCATGGGTGTTTGGCCCGCATGTATGTCTGTGTACCATGTGTGTGCAGAGGCCAGAAGAGAGCAGCAGAGCGTTCCAGACAGTTATGAGCTGCTTATGGGTGCTGAGAACTAAACCCAGGTCCTCTACAAGAGCAATAAGTGCTGTTAACTGCTGAGCCATTGGTCCTGCCCTGTTATCCCCAGACATAGAGGAGCAGAGTAAGCTGTCCACATTTCCATAGCTAGCAAGCAGGACAAGAGTTCTGGTCCTGTCCAGCTGATCAAGAGCTGGGCTCTTGTCCACCATCCTTGCCTGTCCCTGGGTAGAGGGGAAGGGCTAATGCTGCTTGCTAGGAATACGGGTCCCAGGGCTGTGTGTCTCAGTGGTAGAGCACTTGCCTAGCATGCACAAGCCCCAGAGCTGACTCTAGCACTACAGAAAAAAGAAAAATGTAGGCTCCTGGCCCCATCCAAATCTGGGAGACTTTCCAGCCATTGTGGAAACAGAACACAACATCTTCAGTCTCCATTCACTGTGTATCCACAGGCACTGTGTGGCCCGTGCCCCTCCTCTGAGTGATGAGGGGACAGTGAGTCCCAGCTCTGCTGCTCATCACCAGGTGACCGTCTCATACCTCAGCCTCCTCAGCACATATGCAGGTGTTTGTTTTACAGGCCGAGGAGAGTCCTCTGGTCTTGACCTGGCATTCCTCAGCTGCCGAGGGCCCGAGGGCCCGGAGACCTATCCTCCCCACATGCTGGCCATATAGCCAACTTGCCAGCTCATTTCATTGCCTGGGTTCCCTCCTTACCTTAACTAGCCAGAGTCCTGACCACCTGTGCCCCATTTCAGCTTGAAGCAGTTATGGAGAAAAATATGTTCCTGTGCTCCTTGTTCCCAGGACAGGCTTCAGGGCTAAGTTAAGGACGGAACCCCTGGCATAGGGGACCGAATGGGCTACCTAATGCCCATTGATGAGGACCATGAGCCTGTCTGCAGAACTGGTGGCGTAAGAGCCCTCAGGGAGTGGCCCTACCATGGAGGAAGGGCTAGGAGGGTCACCTGCAGCCAGTCACAAGCATCCCGCCATCTCTCCCAAGCTCTTCCTTTTCACTCATTCTCAAGGTGACCCATGAGCCCTCCTGCTCTCCCTGGGCTCACCAGAGCTACAGCAACAGGCCCTATGGCCTGGAGAGGGGTCTCCTCAGAGAACCGAGGGATCATGCTGGATGCAGCGCCTGGGGTATGCGTGACTGTCCACACACTTCTGCCGCCGCTACATCTGCCCAGCGTGTTTTCCCTCACTTGTGGGGTACCCTGGCCCAGCCAGCTGAGGGTCCCCCACACACAATATGCTAACACCTGTGACAATCAATAGCTTGTTACATGAACTTAACAGGACTAAGCTGACACTCTGGTGTCTACCAACAGGCACATTTCTAGGCATAGTTTCTCTGCACACAGTGTTGTCTTTAACACAAGCAATCTCAGTCCTTGGTCTCGAGTGTTCCAGCTCCTGCAGTGGTAACATGTAAGAGTTGTGCACTGTTGGAAAGAGGAGAAACAGACCAACAACTGCAGACTGTTCAAAAATAGAAATTTATTAAAGTGTATTTGTTTTTAATTCCCAAAGCTTAAAACCGTCTTTTCATTGAGCCCATGAGGTACTTGAACATAGACACTATGGTATGTAGCAGTGACTGCCGTGTGTGTGTGTGTGTGTGTGTGTGTGTGTGTGTGTGTGTGTGTGTGTGTGTGTGTTTCATTCCAGGCTAGTCTGGAACTCTGTATGTAACCTGGGCTGCCCTCAGACCCACAATCCCTTGGCTCAGCCTCCCGGGTACTGGGATTACATGTACGTGTCCCCATTCCTGTCTCTAACTTTTTTCTGTAAAGTGAAAAGGCTCAAATACCTGGAGTCCACTTACCGCTTAACATGACCTGGCTTTGGTTTGCGTGCTATTGCGCCCTCAGTCACACCCCTGCCGAGTCAGTACTTCTATTGCACCCTCAGTCAGCCCCCGCAACACACCCCTGCTGAATCAGTCCTTCAGTGACTGACTCATGGCTCCCTCCCTCCCAGGTCATTGGGAGTTAGCAAGTAAGAAATGAGAGGCAGCCAGGCTGTTAGGAAATGCCGTCCTCTGTGGTGCACACAGGATGGGGTGTGGCCCTGGTCACGAGACTGACCTGCCGCAGGCGGGGCTGTCGGACGGGGAGAGCTCATTTGCACCGCAGACAGTCTGCAGCCTTGCTAACCGTCCTGGCTCTGCCTTGAATCAGTATCGGCTCCCTAAGCAAGGGAGCCTGGTCTCTGCAGACACTGCCATCATCATGAACACGGTGAGTTCATTAGAAACTGTGTTTCGTATAAATGTACAAAATTGCCAACCAGGGGGTCCAAGTGAAAAACTTGTTTTGTCAATGGCAGTCTTTATGTGTTCCAAGGCAAAAAGGTGAGAAGGAGCTGGCATAGTCTGTCCCCAAAGACTGGAGATGCCCCTGACATTAAGGCACAAAGCAGAAGAGGATATCCAGGTTCCATGGCCTTCCTCACTGAAGCTCTTTGGGAAATTTTAATTTGAAGTCTGAGATCTGTAGTCACAGGTCTGGCTACCTTTGCTCCAGGTTCCAGTCTCTTCCATGTTCCCTTTGGTCACAGCTACTTGCCTAAGGCACCACAGGAGGCCTGGCCCTATGTAGGCGGGGCTAGGAAGGGAGGTAGCTCCAATGACCTCTAAGCTCCAGGGACTGTTCGCTGGCTTCAGCTCAAAGCTGCCAGGAACTGGGAAAGAGGTGGACAGTGGCCATCGTAAGAAAAAGCATCTGGAAGTGCAATGCCTGGAGCAGAGGCCCCAGTTCTCTTCAGCCCTCACTCAGCATCTACGCAGGTCTGGCCCACTAAGTCATGTTGAGAAGTGGGTAGGCTAGGTAGTAGCCCACAGCCGAGCCCAGGACCACACCGAGGAAAATCCAGGTGTTGTAGGACATTACAGCCAGCATCACAAAGTAGCCAATGACCACCTGAATGACATGGACCAGGGACTGGCCAAAGTAACACAAAAACCACCTAGGCATAAAAGAGAAACGAGTTAGTTACATAGTGATGAGCAGATGTGTTTAGAGACAGAGAGCCCCGAGTCCCAGCCTAACATTTTACCCAGCAGAGATTTCTCTCCAAAGAGACATCCCCACCACATTTAGTTCTGAGCTTCCTGTATCCCTAGGCAGATGGGGAAACCATTATGGTTTATGTAGTCAATTTTGTCTGATAAGGGATAAGAAGAAATCATCGGGAAGCCAGTCTCTCCCCTGAATTGAATGTGGGAGGTAGATGAGTCATGAAAAGAACAGGGACTTGGATGCCTATTAAATCTCCGAATCTTTTGAGTGCTAATTTTCTTATCATTAAAACACCGGGAGAACTCCCACAGGGTGGTTGTGAGGGTGTGAGGCACCCAGGTAAGGTGACTGGGACATTGCGGGCAGGCTCGTTAAGCAGAGGTGAGGCTGCAGAAGGCAGACGGGCCTGTAAGCCTGGTCGGCGTGGGACCGGAGCCCAGAAAGGATGCCTCCCTCTTCCATCAAGTGGATACTAGGCTGATGGCAGTTCTTGCTTTGGTACACCTGCACATCTCCTGTGTTTGGGAGCCTGGGGAGAAAGAACAGTTGCCCATGCCTGCTGCTTGACAGGCCTGCAGCACAGGTTTGAAGTTCCCTGAGAAAGCCTTAGGATCCTCCCAAGGGGCTTCTTGATATATAGCTGTGGCCCAGACATCAGAGACTCAGGCTCTAGTTCATCTTACTAAATACTTCCTGGGGCCCAAATTATCTTTCTGTGCTTTCTGTGAAAATTCTCTTTCTCTGGGCCCAACCACCTCTCAGGATAGGAGTGAATGCTCTGGCCATCCTTCCACCCATGGTTTGTACCTGAGGCGGGTACTATTGGCTGGAGTTGATCCGGAGCCTGTAGAATCCTGGTCTGGTTCCGGGATGAGCTGCTGGCTGCTGGTACTAGGCAGGTTCTCCAGAGTCTTATGGAGCAACTTGGCTTTGCCAACCTTGATGCCTTCATACAGTACAGCCAGGAGCAAGACTACCAGCACTGAGAGGGCCATGCCTGTGAAGAGGCCAAGTTGAAAAATAGGTTTTGGTGTGCCGTGTCCTGTATGGTGATTGCAGAACCATGAACAAATGATACAAGTTTGAAGGGACAGGTGGCTGGCCCTGACTTGAATGCTACACAACCTATACATGTACTGAAACATCTCAAAGTACCACATAAGAGGGACAATTTTCGCCAATTAAAAATAAATAAGCTGGTCAGGTGTGGCGACGTGCACTAAAAGACAGGCAAGTAGATTTTTGAGAAGGAGGAGGAGGAGGGAAGGAGGAAGAAGAGGAAGAAGGAGGGAGATGGGCGAGAAGAGCAGCAGCAGCCACCTCTGCCGTATTCCCAGCACCGGGGAAGCAAACACAGTCATCCCTGGGCTTGCGGGCCAGCCCAGCCTAGCTTACTAGGCAGGTTCCAAGCCAGCGAGAAACCCTGTCTCAACAAGGAAGATGCCATCTGATGAATGATAGCCAAGGCTGTCCTCTGACGTGCACATGGACATGCACACATATGCACATCCACATGCACACAAGTATATATGTACATATGGTACATGTGCATATAAATAAAGCAAGCTGGATGTTGGACAAAGGCCTGTATGTAATTCCAGGTACTCTGTTGATCACAAGTTCAGTGCTGGCCTGGACTAGATTGGATTCCAGGCCAACCTAAACAACTTAGCGAGACCTTATCTCAAGAAATAAGGCCCAGAGACAAGAGTGCCTGCCTAGCCCAAGTGAGGCCCAAGGTTTGATCCCCAGTGCCCCAGAACAAGCAAGCCAAGTTGTAGAGCTGGCTGGGAAGGCAGGTCAGCCCACTCCCCACTCACTCTGAATCCACTCCAGCCACCGGTCTCTTCCTCCTTACCCTCATTAGGCTCAGACCTCCATCATCTCTTTGCCTCTCCAGACATCTCTTGGTAGTGCTGACATACTGGAGTGTAGCCCCTCATTCTGGCAGAGCCAGGGATTAAGGATGAGAAGCCGCACAGCATCATCCCCATTAGCTCCCCCACATTCTGCACACATCTCTATCAAGATTTCTTGCAAATGGGGCACTGTATACATCAAGGCATACATTTTTTCACATGTAGGCATACCAAAACCCTGGGAAGGGGTACAGCAGGAGAGCAACAGAATACAGTTAGAATACGGTGGGTGTTTACTTTCTTCTCACCTAATTTTCCAAAATTATTGTCTATGAGAATTCCATGCATTACATTTATAGAGAAAAATCCAGTAAGTTAAAATGAATAGTAAGTACTTACTAGTGCCTCTGGGCAAAATGAACTCTGATGCTACCTGTGTTTTACAGCAGACAGATAATAGATGGTCCATCTGAAGTATTTTATGAGGCTTTGTGATGTAAGAATATATTTGGAACTGGGAATAGAAGTGCATGCCTGTAATCTCAGCCCTGAGGAAGCTGAGGTAGGTGGATTGTGAGTTTACAGCCAGCCTGGGCTATATACTAAGAAACACTGTATCCAATAAATACTTGCTAGTGGGGGCTTATATGTGCCATTGACTTGTGGCTGAAGCCCCTAAGTAGCTGGCCTCAGGATGGAGAGGAACCAACATTAGATAAGATTGGAACACTCAGCCTTACTCCTAGGCTCTGAGGAACAGACAGGGGCCGCAGGCTGAGCTGATCACCAGTGGCTAGTGGCTTAATTATGCCTATGTAAAGCATTTCCCTAAGTTCTGTGAGTTGTTCCAGCAAATGATTGATGCCAGTTGGGGGGTGGGGTCATAGCCTTGATTTTACAGCTCACTGGTCAGAAGTACAAGCGTCTGCATGGGAGACAGTCCGCGAGGGACTGTGCTCTTGATCTGTGGGGTGGGCACCAACTCTAGGGTCGGAATTAAACTGAACTGTTGGATACTCAGCAGCTGAAAAATGGCTGGCATGGAAGAACTACACATCTGACCATGGAATATAAAAAAGAGGAAAAACCATAGGCTGTTTTTTTTTTCCTTCACAAAGGTAAAAGCCACAGGCTTTCTCTCTCTCTCTTTTTAAAATAGGTAATCATAGGCAATTACATGCCCATGGTAGAAGTTTAATCATGGAGAAGAGTATACACTAAACACTTCCCACACTCCCAGAACGCAGCCTCCTCTCCACAGCAGCCTCTGCAGCTCCATGTCTGTACCAGCCTTGGCTGTCTAAATGACAGCATCCCGTCTGCATACTCACCTGCATCGAGTTTCATCATCCATCTCCCCCAGGACATGGACTCCCTTCTGTTCACACACATCTACCTCATTTTCCCAGGTTACTCTACAGTGTCTGTGATAGAGTGCATCTTTCAGAGATGTCCACTCCCATATATCCTACCCACATCCTCCTTCCAACATGAGATGGGAGCCATGTTCCCTCTCTTTTAACCTGAAAAGGTCAAAGGACCAGTCAACAGGTGAAGATAATTCTATGCAACTTCCAAGTGTAGGTTTTATTTTTATATGTGTATGTGCATATGTGTATACATGTGTGCATGTTCGTGTGTGTGCATGCACATGTGTGTAGAGGCCAGGGGTCAACATTAGGTATCCTCTATTGCTCTCTACCTTATTTGAGACTGCATCTCTTGCTGAAGCTAAAGATAGGCTGGCTGGCTAGCAAGCCCCAGGGTCCTCCTGTCTCTACTCCTCAGTGCAAGGAATTCAGGTGCATGCTGCCGTGACTGTCTTTTGCATGGGTGCTGGGAATCGAATTAAGATCTTCATGCTCTCTCAGCAAGCACCTGACCAACTGAGCCTTCTCAGCAGCCCCTAGGGTAGGGTTTTAAAACCTCATGCATTTCACCCATGTCTTTTTTTTTTTTTTTTAGGATACCTGCTTAAAACCTCGCCATTCTGCCATGAGGAAGCCCAGGCTACAGGAGGAGCCACTGTGAGCCTCAGACGAGACCCAGCTGAGGCTGCAGTTCACAACCAGTACAAGACCCTAAAAACTCCTCCAAAAGCCTGTGTCCAGCCACTGTCTGGCTCACTGCATGAGAGGCCCTGAGTAGCATAGTCAACCCACAGAATCTTGGTGAGGCGTTAATGAGATGTGTTCTACCCCATTGCTTGGTCTACACGATGGTCATACATTGTAGAGAAGGGCACATCTGCCATGGCAGGCATCTGACCTATTATGAGCTTGCTTTAGAATGATAAATGCAAAGTTCTAGCTCAATGTGCCCTAACTGCCCACAGAAAATAAGGTTCTCTGCCGCCTGGCACCATGGGGCTTGCCAAACTACAAGTGACCTTCCCAATTCTTACCTGTAGGACTGTGGACTCTCCAGAAATCAAACAGAAGCACAGCCTCATCTGAGAAGATGAAATGCATCTGAAAGAGACGAGATCTGCATCAAAGGAGGCTTGGACACAGAGGTCCTGCTTCCTAATGCTCTCTAGCAGTTACCCTGGGGCTGCAGGACTTACATGCTGGAAGGTCCATTAGAAGCCAGATGGAGGAGGAGGGCTTGCCCAAGTGGGTCAATAGCACCTATAACCGAGCCCTGCTCCATGTGGAAGTGAAGATGGGGAGTGCCTATCCTCACAAGGCCAACCAGACTTGGGATGACACAGTATCCTTGGGTCTCATGGAGACATCCCCTCTGGGTCCTCTAAACTCATTAGGAAGTCCTAGGCCAAGCCTTACAGACTGGCTCAGCCTTTTTGCTTAGTTCTAAAAACACTCCCCATAGCCAGCAAGGAGTCCCAGTTGTCCTAGTGAACCTGGACAGATACAACAGAGTTTATCACAAAATGCTAAGGACAGATGTCTCCCATCTGTTCACCACACACATCCACTCATTCACTAGACTCTTTGCGGACCCCAGTCTGTGCTCAGCATTGAGTAGGTAAAGAGGAGAATGGAGCACTTGCCTCAAATACGTGAGGCCTTAGGTTCAACCCCTAGTTAAAAGCATAAAAAAGGAACACATTGATCCAGGCCAGCTCCCTCCCCCTCCACCCATCTCATCTGCAAATGGGAAAGGGGAGCCCCGAGAGGGAAAGAGATTTGCCCTGGGTGGGCTTTGCTCTCAATGAGTGTTCCAGGGGAGAGGACCTGGAGAGAGGATGGGTTCTCAGAAAGGCTGTGGGAGTTCTGACTGAGACATGCTTCAGTGCAAGTGGAGGGACAGGAAAATTAGGTCAGCTGCCACTTTGTCTGGAAGCTGTGCCACTGGGCATTCTCCGGCCACTTGGACGCCAGAGTCCAAACTTGTTTGTAGGTGACAGCCCTAAGTCACAGATCATACACATCTACCTTTTCCTTCTCCCCCTTCTCAAAACTGAGCATCGAAGGAGATGATAAAGAACAGTAGGAGGGAAGGGGCCATGGTAGTTCACAGCTGTAGTTCTAGCACTTGGAAGGCTGAAGCAGGTGCACTGTTCTGAATTCCAGGCCATTTGGTCACATAATGAGTTCCAGAATACGGTGGCTTAACTAAGAATGGCCTATACAGGCTCATGTATTTGAATGTTCAGTCATCAGAGAGTGGCAGTACTGGAGAAGGATTGGGCGCCATGGCCTTGTTTGAGTAAGTGTGGCCTTGTTGGAGGAAGTGTGTCACTGGGGGGGGGGGTGAGCTTTGAGGTTTCAAAAGCCCACACCAGGCCCAGAGTCTGTCCGTCTGTCTGTCTCTGCCAATCAGTCAGGATGTAGCTCTCAGCTACTGCTCCCTGCCATGCTCCCCGCCATGATGATGATGACTATAACATGAATCTTAAATGGTCCTGTAATAAAAAACCCAGAACTAGATATCAGGGTGAAAGCTGAAGGATCAGAGAAGCAGAGCAGCCTAGTTCTTACCTCTACAAAATCCTCAGTCTAAAGAGAGTGAGTTCCTGTTTCCTCACACCTTATATACCTTTCTCTACCCAGATATCACTTCCTGGGATTAAAGGCGTGTGTGCTTCCCAGTACTGGGATTAAAGGTGTGTGGCACCACTGCCTGGCCTTTATGTGTAATATAGTGGTTGGCTCTGTCCTCTGATCCTCAGGCAGGTTTATTGGGGTACAGAATATGTCACCACAGATGATGATGAACTAACTCTCTGAAATTGTAAGCAAGCCCCAAATTAACTGCTTTCTTTCTTTCTTTTTTTAAAGATTTATTTATTTCTTAATGTATATAGCATGTATGACTGCAGGCCAGAAGAGGGCACCAGATCTCATTACAGATGGTTGTGAGCCATCATGTGGGTGCTGGGAATTGAACTCAGGACCTCTGGAAGAGCAGCCAGTGCTCTTAACCGCTGAGCCATCTCTCCAGCCCCTAACTGCTTTCTTTTATGAGAGTTGCCCTAGTCATGGTGTCTCTTCACAGCAGCAGGACAGTGACTGAGACACAGGTCAGCCTGGAGTAAGGTGAGCCAGCATCTCAAAACAAAACAAAACAAAGCAAAGCAAAACAAAAAGATAATAGATTGGGAGCAAACCAGATCTGTCAACTAAGGGCTTTCTGGAGCCTCAGCACCAGCCCAGGGAAGCTGGGAGAAGTGTGAAGCGTTCATATGAGATGAGTCAATGGGCCCTCTTTCCCACATCTTGTCAAAGCTACAGGAATATTTCTCAAAAGGGTTCCATGAGAACCATAGGCTGCTAAGACATACTTTGAGAGATGATTCTGTAATCAAGCCTCGGAGAAGCTGGAATCGGGTAAAATAAAGCTCAACCGCTCTCTTTCTTGCCAGAAGGCAGACCCTAGAACCCTATCCCGAGTCCCTTCCCACCCCTTTTCTTGTTGGATAGAATCTAATTTGGGAGGGTGTTAATCTTTTCTCCTATCTGTTGGTATGCTGGCCAGCAGGTTTTCGCCCAGGCAGACTGGTTTCAGAGTCTGTGCTCTCAACACAACCTGTAAGGAAGCCCAAGAGGAAGTTAAGGCATGCCCAGGGTTACACTGTGAGGTAGTGGCAGTATCAGGACTAGAACTCATGTCTTCATACCTGACCCTCATTTGACATAAGGTAAAACAAACCTAATTTGTGGAGAAAACCCATGGGCATGCTTTTTGTTTGTTTGTTTTGTTTTGTACATATATATGGAGGGGGAGGGAGAGAGGGAGAGAGGGAGAGAGGGAGAGAGAGAG